CGGATTCGCCGACACCAATTCACATGAGCTATGGTTCTGAGACAACGATTGTCGAAAAGCTGAAGACATCTCAGCTACGCTGCTGGAATAGGCCAAGCCTCACGGCCACACAACAAAACAGCCCGTACTGTAGCTTGATACACACGTCAATTCAGATTCAGGGATAAACCATTCTGACACCATGTGTCTCAAGTTAGCAAACGCGGCCCGAGCATTACAGATTCGTGCATTCACCTCATCTGTCACACTACAATCAGAAGTAATGCAACTTCAAAATACGTAAAACGCTCCACAACTTCCAGTGCCTCTCCCTGGATTGCAAGTGGCGTGTTCAGTGACTGCATGTTTACAACAACTTTGTGGGTGCAAAGTGTATATCAAAGGACGGGATGACTTTAGTCAGTTCATCCAAGAATACTTGCGCCTTCTTCTCCTCTTCGAACATGAGAAGGATGTCGTCTGCATATTCCAGATCGACAAGGTTTTCTTCACTGGCTATTCGAACACCGGGGTTTCGGAGTCCCTCCGGCGTTCGTCTCAGTATTTCACCGATCACGAAGTTAAAAAGGAACGTAGAGAGCGGGCATGTCTGACGGACACCACTTTGTGGGCGGAAGCTTTTGGAGAGCTCTCCGTACACACTCACGCGTCCGAAAGTCTGTGAATACAAAGAACGTATTATGTTTACAAACTTCTGGGGCATTCCTTGGCGGGCAAGCGTCTCAAGAAGAACAGACCGATCAACCGAGTCCAATGCACCTCGGAAATCCGGGAATATTAAAATTGTGGGTCGCTTATACGTTTGGCGTTGTTCTAGCTCCGGACTCCTTTTCCCAAATGCAAGCAAAGTGATCGAACTAGTGCTGACTGATGACTTCACCGCCGTCTTTGAAAAGTGCGGGTGGAAGGTCATCCGAACCGGGAGCTCGGTGGCGCGTGAGAGGACATATGCAGTCGAAAACCTCCGAGCCGTAGGTGGTTCCACTTCCACCGTCCAGGGTTCTACTTCACCTGTGGGCTCTAGATGAATTCCGGCTGGTGGCCACGACAGTTGCTGTTTGAAGTATTCAGCCCACCGGTCGAGGCGTTCTTCTTTGTTCGAAGTGGTCGTTCCATTCCGATTTTTGATGATTTGACTCACAGGTGGTTGCCCGGGACCGGCCGCACAGATCAACTGAAATAATCTCCGGGCCTAGCCGGCTTTCTGGGCCTCTTCCATTTCTTTGGCTTTCTGTGTCCACCATGCTCCATGGTTGGACCGCAAACTCACTTTCACTTGACGTCTAATAGCTCTTCGCACCGGGTTATTTTCGGGACCGGTTGGGATATTACTTGGAGATTTAAGTAATGCCACCGTTCGGTCTGATATCCAATGCTTCATTGCGCATGGTCGGGTAGTGCCGCAGGCAAAATTCCGAGCACTATACAAAGAGGTGGCACTCTCGTCCTAGTATGGGTTCACATCTAATGATGGAGCGTTTGGAAGAGACTCTAGAAGACGATCCTTGTAAGTTTGTCTGACATCCGGATCTGTCAGTCTTTCAGTTGCCATGCGGTTTGTCCGCACCTTACGCGGCCCCAAGAAACGTAGAGAGAGTCAACTCCGGACGAGCGCGTCGTCAGAGTCCACAAAGATTTCCCCAAACGACCGGCAGTCAGTTATGGATCCGCGCCATCGGTAATTGATGGCACTGTGGTCGATTTGAGTTTGTGCCTGGCCTGTCGTTGAAGGACACCAAGTTGCCAGACGACTTCGGCTATTTCGGAAGCTCGTACTGCATAAAAACAGCCTGCGATCAACACAGAGCTAAATCAATCGTTTCCAATTTCCGTATGTACCGAGTCCAGTCCATGTCGACCCTCTAATTGAATCTCGGGTGCACTAAGCTTGCCCACTTGAGCATTCATATCTCCGGCAACCACCACAATGTCTGAACTTTTAGCTTGCCGCAATAGGGCATTCAAGGTTTTGTAAAACCTGTCTTTGACGGCGTCGGAGCTACAGTCAGTTGGGGCATAGGCAGACACAATAAATTGACATACATCAACCTGCCGCTTCTGAGACTCTTTCACAGACATTGTCAGACGAACCGCACAGAGGCGACTATCAACAGGAATCCAATCAAGCAAGGATTGCTCCGCCCGGTGACTTAGCACCATACCAACCCCTGCACATCCCACCGCAGCAGCCACCGGATCACCAGAGGTGCGTAACCGGAAGCGAGTTGAGACTGAAAGGGCGGTCAACTCAATCGCTGTGCTTGCATCTTGAATTCTCGTTTCTGAAACACAGCACATATCAAGGCCAAGCGATTCCGGTGTGAGTGCAAGAGCAGCCTGTTGTCCTGCTTGCTTCAGAGTGCGGACATTGGAGGCGGCCAGATAAACTGGCCAGACAGACTGCACTTATGTATGTGATCTTCATTCGTTGATATGCATAACTATTTAGCAGATAGTGCAGCGTTACAAATGCGCATTTATAAACAGCACAAAAATATATTTTGCATTAGAACCAATCGCACTCCTTAGTTGGAATACGCCATCGAGCGCAACAACGTTGAACAAAATGGGGCTAAATACTACCGATCATCGTGACAACAGCACACGCAGTCAACCACTTTGGTCGTTTAGACGCTGATTATAAGGGCTCAGGTATGCACAGTAACGTAACCCAATGGTCAATGATAGTACGTAACACTGATAACTGTACGCGTTGTCTCACAGTAAAACCCAGGCCATGATCCATGCCAACGTACACGAGGCTTCAATTATGCATGATTACCCAATCTAACGGCCCGACATATCCATATTTGTGGGCGTTGTTGCTCTTTTTGACAACTTAACGTGACTGTTTGCCTCGTGTTTATTTGCGACACTGATTATGAATCCAAAATTGTGCAAGGTAACCTAATTCAATAGACAAAAACGACCCGCCATACTCATGACCATATGCAAAGTCACGCTCCCTGGCTACCTATGGTAACTGTCAAGCCGGTATCTATGCACGCGGCCGAGCATGAGGCCTGAACTACGCATGATAGGCTAATGCGACGATTAATGACAGTCGCCCATACCCATGCGTGTTCGCGTTGTCACTCATGTTGTCTATGTTGGCAGCTGATTATAAAGCCCTGCTATACACAATGGTCTGAACCAACGATGAAAAAACGTAGATGTCCATATGCCAAGCCAATTCCTGAAACATACACAACTGCCCTTGGCAAACTATTTTTCTGCTCATTCACTGCATCAAAACAGACGTAGTCTAGTCAATTCAGCCACTGTTTTCTGGAGGCTGATCTTACTCGATAGGGTTTCCGAAAAAATGTATAACCAACTACAACTAGGTTACATTTTCATGCGTGCCTATCCAAAATACCTAATTACTCAAAGCCGTAGTAGCTACCTCATCAATTACTTAATAAATCCAGATGACCACAAGCCTCCAAGAGTGTCAACGCTGAAGCTGAAATCCTACTGTTATGGAGATGCCTTTAAGGCTTGCTCAGTTAGTCCGATTGGGATGCTGAGGGTGCCGTATGTATAACGGTCATCTGAAGGCGGAGTTACAGACGCAGCGGAGTAGAGGCAAAAGAGGTTTTAGAACTGGTCAACCGTAGGAGTTGGCCTTCGGGATCTAGGGACTGCATGTGTCCTCAAACGTGCACCCATGGATGTAGCCTTGGCGATTATCCAGTGAGTAGGCGGGTACTTGGTGTAAAATCTGCTCGTTTGGAGCACTGAATCCTATCTTTACTTCTGCTTCCCGATACTGATTCCATGTGGCTTAATAGAATCGATGGATCCATTCATCTTAACTTGGAAAAATTGTATCCTCACCATCAATAGCACGCTCACCAATTAGTGGCTCCTTCATCGAAAACCGGTCAGCGAACATGCTTGGGTCTGTCAGCCGACGCTCAGGTGATCTTCAGCATCCATATGTATATATATATAGGCATCCACATCTTACACACACATAAGATGTCGTAAGATGCTCGCTANGCATTCCTGTTAACCAATTTAATTCCATCATATGGGTTTGGGCCTCCTCAAACTCGTTGTTTATGGCAATGTAATCTAAGTCGTCTTCACTTCAACAGCTAAATGTACAAGATCTTGACTGTCGAACTACTGAAACAGACCCTGATACAATCTTATACTTTCTAAAAAATTATGACGACTTGACTGAGGACTAAAATGTTTATTTACTTCATCTCCTTGCCCGGAAAAAATACTCAACGCACACCGCCACACTGCCATCAGTGTCTCTGTCCCATGAGTAGCCGATTGGCGCTGACTTCCATTGGAATATCCATTTGATGCTATCTGCCTTCCCATCCACATTTTTCCACCTTCTATACAAAGTCATTCAATTTTGCGCCTCCTCTTTAGGATGGTACCAAAGACTGCAGGGTAAATGATTTACTTGAACTGCATGCCCCCCAAGTACATTTTACACCGTAAAATGAGCCTCATTCTCCACTCTCTGCAATGGAAGAAAGGGAAACTAAAATCGAAGCAAATTTTGTTGAACGCCTGTGTCACTGGCCCGAGCTTGCTTAGGACGTAGCGCATATCCAGGACAATTCCCTGGTTGATACTTAACCTCAAATACAGCGGAGGGAAAGTGGTTTAAGAGACTCAACAAGCACACACGGTACAACGCCTCCAAAACAAATCGTTTTCTCGAGTCTCCATCCTTCTCATCAGGCTGCAAATTTGCCATTCTCATATTATGTTGTACCCATCATTTATCAGCTAATGGCACGAAAAAGTTTTGCCCTTTACATCTACCTTCCCCCTCATATCGTCCAGTGAACTCCCTTTTAGTGCAATCCTAAAATTTTTGGAGTCCGTGATCGTGTGCAATGCATCAAAACTATCGAACCCATATCAACAAGCTGCACTGACTGGTTCAGTGTCTTTTGATTTCCCCTCAACTTCTTCGTCTTTCCGTTTCCAGTCGTCTTTCTTTTTTATCCACACGGCACATGTGATACCAGTGGAACCATTAGCCCCTCAACGACCACATTCGATTAACCGTTGATCACTCGATCAGAATGACA